CCTCCACCCACAGCGCCGACCCACCCTGCTCCAGCCATGCCTCCATGTCGTCCAGCGCCAGCAGCAGGGCCTGGTGGCGCAGGCGCTGCCCCACCGGGTTGCGGATGTCGAAGAACTCGGCGTCCTGCACCCACGCGCTCTGCGGCACGGCAGGCACAGCAGGCACAGCAGGCAGCGCTCTGCAGCACGACAGGCAGCGGCAGGCAGCGGGCAGCGCTCTGCAGCACAGCGCACAGCGCACAGCAGGCAGCGGCCGCGCACGGCGCGGCCGCAGCACGGGCATGGCGGCACACATCAGCCGGGAACGAAACCGCAGTGCAAGCTGCCAGGGCAAGGGGCAGGCTGCCTGAGCAGCAGGGGGCAACCGCCGCAACATGCCGTGCACCGCGTGCCCTCCCACCCCACCCCCCACCACCACCCGCAGCGCCTTGCCTGGTGCTCGGCGCTCTTCACCCGCCGCCGGTACTGCCCCACATTGATGTGCTTGGTGGGGTGGCCCAGCCTGCGCACCCAGCGGCGGCAGCAGGCAGCGCGGGGTCACGCGGGCGCATGCAAGGCGCCAGGCAAGGCCTGGCCCGCCCCACGGCGACGTAAGGAGGAGGGCGCCCGCCGCGCCGCTCGGCCGCCGCCGCTGGCCCGCCAAGCTGCTGCCCGGCCCGGCCGGCTGTCGGGCCACAGCTGGCTGAGGCGCAACCTGGCGGCCCACTGGCCTGCCGCCTGCGGCTGGCGTGGGCCCGGTGTCGGCGCAAGGCACCGGACCCATCAGGCTGCCCCCCTGGCTGCCCCAGTCAGGGCCCACCACCCTCCCTGATTATACTATTATTATGTGCCCACCAGTTGAGGTAATTCATGAGCTTGTTGCACAGGAAGGTCTTGCCGCGGGCGGGCAGCCCCACCAGGATGACAATCAGCTTCTGGCGGTCCACACGCTTGCGCCGCTTGCCGCCGATGCTGCGCGCTGCGGGCGGGGGCGGCGGGAGCGGCGGGCGGGGCGGTGGGCGGC